ACCGGGGTTTGTGTTCCCATACTGGCAGAGCCCGCAACCGATCAGCCTTATGGTCAAGCCTTGACAAGGCAAGCCTCTGGCAAATCGTTCAGGAATAGCAGATGGCCAACACGGTGTCCTAGGCGCACCGATGCACATGCAACGCAAATAAACACATAAGTGTAGTCAAAACAAGATATCATGAGTTCGAGTCAAGCTCTCTAAACTCCCCAGCAGAGTCGCCAGAAACTGTAGACGTCCCCGAACGCCCTGGGAGGATGAGTCCCATTTTGTTCGTCTTTAGGCTCATTACAGTTCGGACTCTAATTGTCACAGTTCTTAATCTGAACCAAAGAGTCCAAATCTGGCAAATCGTTTTGAGAAAAACAGATTTTTGTAAAGAAGTGCCAAACATGGACTGCTTTGCCAGATACAGAGTCGCCACCTAAATATTTTATTTTGGGAGAATTTAGGAAACCCTGACTCGTTTGCCTAAGGCCACGTGTCCGTCATCACCAGACTTGCCTCAGCTCGGGAACTTGGGTACGATTGGGGAAGGTCAGCTATGAGCACCCCCTCTCGCCCGATCCGAAGATCGGCTTCTACTAATCATGATATCTTGTTTTGAAAACATTATGTGTTCTTATTCCGGTCATTAGCCTAGATTTACTATGTGATGCGCACAACATACAAGTATAAACTGAATCGCCTGAGTTAGAATAAAACATTTCATGTTTGTTTTTGAAAGCAGTTTGCTACTCGTAAGTATGCTAAAATGCAGGTTTTGCCACCCTTAAGTGGGCTTTAGAAAAGATGGTTTTTGCCACTATCAAGTGGGCTTAAAACTCATGGTTTTAATGCATTATTCCAATTCAGGTAATTCAACCTCCATGCATAAGCATTCAAGCAGTTATATCGCATAAGCAAATAGCCTCATGGTAATCATGTTGTCAGGGCAACATTTACACGCATACAAGGATGCTAAATCGTAAAAGCTTACCGAGTACTCCAAGCCAAAACAGAAACTAGTTAGCAATCAATGTATGATCCACGTCCATGTTAAGTGCCTAATGCAACGCATACAGAATGCAATTAGGATAGGCTCGGCTAATCCTAGGATGGCATGTGAAATGCAACAATTTGATGCACATATTCAAGTTTAGATTTGAAATACTATGCAGTTAGTATGATGCGTCGAGCTCGATGCATGCAATACTGATGAATGATGAACGCATGCATAGCATAAGGATGCTAAATTAAATATGTCCTAGTACTAACCATCAAAGCAGGTAAGTAAAAGGGAGAAAGAAGTGGGGGCTAGAAGACATGCACACATGCACACACGCACCCACACTTATTACAAATTTGCCCTCGCTCGGAGGGACCGAAAGAATAATACAGATTTAACTAACCTACAAGCTAATCAAATATTACAGACCAATTAAACTAGTTAAGCAAATTAACTAATCTAATAAAACAGTAAACAGCCTCGGGAAGAGGGCCCAATGCAATGCGTGCTCGGCTCCGCTCGGAAGTCCACTACCATGCACAGGTTGCCTCTGTCCACACTGTTTTCCTTCTCTGGTCATTGCAAAATTCCTAAGGTGCACTCTATGAGCCCTGTGGGATACCACTGGCCAAGGGAAGTGGTCACCGGCCACTGGTTAAGCTATCGGCCACCAATTGTTGGTCGATCGGCACTAAAGATGGTCGGCCGGCCAAATATTCCTGCAGAATCCTGTTTTGACAGCAGCAGAGGGCAAAACAAGGCATGACAATACATTCCAAGCAAATGTGTGCACCAACACATCCCTTATCATGTTTATGACTCAAAGGGACATGGTTCTCGGTTCTCGGACCACTAATCGCGCATTTCGATGCGTGATGGCCCAAGAAACCAAGTTATGCACTTTGATTTCAAATGAAATGCACATAAACAAGCAAGGAGCTCAACCTCTATCATACTCAATTCAAGAGGCTAAGCATGCATGTCAATGCAATGCAACCTAGACATATGAGCTAGTATGCAACATGAACAATGCGAACAAGCATTCAAGGCATGTGACAATCATGCTAACCAATAAGTATGCCCAATATAATGGGGATGTTCAAGCATGCAAGCAAGCATGTGACTTCATTCAATCATGCCACAACACATGGAGCAAACATGTTAAACAACCTAAACATGTGACAACACACAAGTATGCAACAACACACAAGATGAGCATGCAGCAACATGCGAACTATGGACTTTAACTAATTTGGGTAGCTCTATACCAAGCCCAAAACAGTAGCCAACATGCTCAAGAATGAAGGCAAAATGACATGCAAACATGCGTGCACACAAGGACCAACACTTAGGCATATAGAAACAACTCTCAAGCACACTTAAGAGGATGCAAACATGGACAAATGGCATGCATTATAAGCTCTGAAAATGATGTTAGCGAGGGTGCCAAACCAATCTACAATGCAAGCTAGGCATGCCACCAAGCCCAAGGACTTAAACCATGGCCATATGACATATGAAGCAAATGACCAAAATGAACTAAAACAGTCCTAAATCATGCAAAAGTAAGCCCCAAAAACCACTTAGATGACATCTAAATGATCTAATCCTCGAGGCATACACAATGACACAAACATGGAGCAAGAAACACCAACCTTTTAAAGCATGAAAGGGGCATCAAATGCAAGCATACGGGCATACCATGAAGACTGAAATGACATGACAAGTGGTTCCAAACCACTGAAATGATGCAAGGATGGCATGCTAGAGGGGTCAATGCTTATGGCATACAAGAGAGGTTACATGGTAGCTATACAAAGCAAAGCATGAACAACCCAAATGACCAAAAACAGATCTTTAGCATGCTAAAAGAAGCATAAAAGCTTCACAAAGCCAACCCAAATGACCAAAAATAGACCTTTAGCATGCTAAAACAAGCATAAAAACATCACAAAGCTAAGCCAAAAATATGCTAGAAACAAGGCTCAAAGCACAAGGCATGTTAAGGCAATTCATGGCATTACAAGACATGTATGCTAAGCAAGCATGATGTGTCTAAACCAAGTAAAAACAATGCTATATTATGGCATAATAAGCATAAAAAACAATTAAGGCATGGCCAACATCCACTTAAACAAGGTGCTCACTAATGAGGCTTAAATGACCATTATTGAAGACAACAAGGAGAGGGGGTGGCCCTCTCCTTCTTAGGACCTTAAGGCACCATCCTCACCACTGAAGTCTCACCACTGAAATCCCTCAAGATTTCAGTGGTGAGGAGGCCCAAACAAGGTGGTCTCGGAGCTCAACCAAAATGGCACAAAATGGGGCCAAACAAGCCCTAAGAGGGGTCAAACAACCCCGAAGCCCAAAACACTCTTAAACAACTATTTTAAGCAGGTAAAAATAGAAATTTTATATGTTATATGCAAAACCTAAAAATAGTTACAAGATAGTCAAAAAAGCTATGCAAAAATGGGGAATAAAGGGCAAGAACACTCACCCTTGTTGACCCTCTTCAAGAATGATGCTCCAGCAGCTTCTTCAAGCTCAAAACCACCCAAAAACACCAAGAACAGCCTTCTGGTCCCTCAGCAACCAAGAGAAGGTGTAGGACTAGGTGTTTGTGTGCAATAGTAAGACTAAACACACACACAAGGCAAAAAGAGAGAGAGATATAGAGATGGAATAGATACAAGCTCAAACCATAATCTCAGAGCTCTTCTGAAAATTTTTGTAACCCTAATGGAGGGAGAGGAGGCTCCCTCTTATAGTCAATCCCTCTTGTAAGGCTTTCCAAACAAACTAGTCAAGAGGGAGATCCCTCCATACACGTGTATGGAAGGGAGCAAAGTGTATGCCAGCTAAAAATATTTGCAAAAGCAGATGAACAGTGGTCGGCCAACCAAAAATACAATTTGACCAAAATAGATGGCCGGTCGACCATCTAGAGTTCCGGTCGGCTAAACATTTGGCCGATGGCAACAAAACACAACCGGTGGCCTCAAGCCATGGCCAGTGGAGTGTGGGGATGGCCAACAAGCCATTCCCTGCCCTTAAAAGCAAAAACACAAGTGTTTGGTATAAAACTAAACACAAAACAGTCGAGTTGATAGATCCTGAGGCAAGGCGCGTAGCCGAGACCTCCGGGAACTCAAGACAAACACAAACAAGGATGATCACCGAGTGTTCAAGCGGTGACGTCCAAGTCTTGAGGACAGTCAAAAATGGGATGCCTACACATGGGTACGGCTCGGGTACGGCATGGGTACGCCTTTGGTGCGTTTTAGGTACGGCGGGGGCAGAAATCAAATTTTCTAAAAAATTGAGAGGTACTGGAGCAATATTAAGAAAAATTAAAAAAAAGAAAAGAAAAGATGTGTATACGAATGCCCTAATCTCATCACTTTTTTGCCCTAATCTCATCGAAGCAAAGAGAAGAGGCGACTTCGACCATCACCCTTTTCTGCGACTTCGAAACAGAGATCGACTTCGACCCTCACCCTCGTCTTCGACCCTCACCCTCGTCTGCGACTTCGAAACAGAGATCGACTTCGACCCTCACTCACCCTCATCTGCGACTTCGAAACAGAGATCGACTTCGACCCTCACTCACCTTCGTCTTCGACGTCGACCCAGAGATTCGACCCTCGTCTTCGACTTCGACCCAGATATTGACTTTGACCCTCGGCTTCGACTTCGACTTCGACGCAGAGATCACCCTCGTCTTCGACCCACGGCATCAGAGGTATATCTCTTCATCTTTATTTATTATTATTTTTTCTTGTTTCTTCTTTAGTTATTAATACTGAAAATGCTAATAAATATTAATAATAAATATTAGAGATGAAAATGCTAATAATCATAAATATTATTATTAGTTATTAATAATAAAAAATTAGAGATAAAAATGCTAATAATCAAAAAAATTAGTTATTCCTCAACAGAATGTTAATGATCATAAATATTATTTTTAATAATCAAAAATATTATTTGTTATGCTTATAGGAAAATGAGTTCATCAAGCAGTTTAGGTTCATCTGCTGCAAGTGCTTCTGCTCCTTCCATTGATAAATCTGGAGATGAAAATGCTCCTCTTTGGGCCTATGTTATAAAATTAGTTAAAAAGGGAGAAGGAGGAAGTGGTAATACAAAATTTAAGTGTAATTTTTGTAACATTGAGTACCAAGGGTCATGTTCTAGAGTTAGAGCCCATTTGTTGCTACTTACTGGCCATGGAATTAGAGTGTGTGCAACTGTGAAGAACAAGAGTGATCTTCTTTCTGAAATTCGAAAGGTAGATCAAGAAGCTGAGAACCGGGAAAAAATGGCAAAGCCAAAAAATGTTCCTTTACCACCTCCATCTTCTCAAATTAGTGCTAGCCACGGCAGTGTAGAAGATGTTGGAACATTTAGAATGGAAGGTTATGCACCAAGAGAGAGAAAGTCAATTGGGAGTAGTCCTTTAGATAGGGCATTCAATCAAAGTTCTAGAGAGCATTTACATTCTTTAATTGCCTGTATGTTCTATTCAGCTGGTTTGCCTTTCCATTTGGCTAGGAATCCATACTTTGTGGATGCTTTTCAATATGCTACTGAGAATCAAATTGTTGGGTATGTCCCTCTTGGATATAATTTGTTGAGGACTACCTTACTTCAAAAAGAAAGGGCAAATATTGAAAGGTTATTGGAACCAACTAAGAAGTCATGGGATGAAAAGGGGTTGAGTATAGTATCTGATGGATGGACTGATGCACAAAGGAGGCCTCTCATTAATTTTATGGCAGCATGTAATGGTGGAGTTATGTTTATAAAAGCTGTAAATTGTGAGGGTGAGACCAAGGACAAGTACCATATTGCCAAATTAATCAGTGAAGTGATTGATGAAGTGGGTCCTAATAATGTAATTCAGGTAATTATTGATAATGCTCCAGTTTGTAGTGCAGCTGGATCAATTATTCAAGGTAATTATCCGAAGATCTTTTGGACACCTTGTGTAGTTCACACTCTTAATCTTGCTCTTAAGAACATTTGTGCTGCGAAGGAAGTTGGAGTTGCCGCATATGCTTATGATGAATGCCATTGGATCACTACTGTGATTGATGATGTAATGTTTGTGAAAAATTTCATCATGAATCATTCTATGAGATTATCTATTTTTAATGAGTTTGTACCTTTGAAGCTACTTTCTGTTGCAGATACACGCTTTGCATCTGCAATTGTTATGCCAAAAAGGTTTAAACTTATATATCATGGTCTCCAAACAATGGTCATAAGTGACAAATGGACTTCTTACAAGGAAGATGATGTTGGGAAAGCAGCTGTTGTAAAGGAAAAGTTGTTGAATGATGTTTGGTGGGATAAGATTGAATATATACTCTCATTCACATTGTCTATTTATGAGATGCTTAGATTTTGTGACACTAATAAGCCATGTCTACATTTGGTTTATGAGATGTGGGATTCAATGACTGAACGGGTGAAGGCATCCATCTATAGGGGTGAAAGGAAGTCAGAAAATGAAGAGTCATCCTTTTATTCTGTAGTGCATCAAATATTAGTGGAAAGGTGGACAAAAAGTAGCACACCTCTTCATTGCCTTGCTCATTCCTTGAATCCAAGGTATAATTCACATTAGACTCATGAATCCAAGGTTTATACTTTAATTTTTTTCATTGCATAATTTACTTATTATTTTTTTCTAATTATGAAATCTAGGTATTATAGTGGGATGTGGCTTCATGAAAATCCCATTTGTGTTCCTCCTCACAAAGATGTTGAAATTTTTGAGATGAGAATCAAGTGTTTTAAGAGATACTTTCCTGATTCAGATGAGAGAAGGGTTGTTAATACAGAGTATGCGAAGTTTTCAGGTTGTTTGGATAGTTTTAGTGACTCTGACTCAATATGTGATAGAGGAGTAATGGAACCAGTGGTTTGGTGGTTGGCACATGGCTTTTCTGCACCTATGCTCCAATCCTTGGCAGTGAAATTACTTAGCCAACCATGTTCCTCATCATGTTGTGAAAGGAATTGGAGCACCTACTCTTTCATTCACTCTATGGAGAGGAATAAAATGACACCACAACGGTGCGAGGATTTGGTTTTTGTGCACTCCAATATTCACCTCTTATCAAGGAGGAGTCAACTATACACAGAAGGAGAGACCAAGTTATGGGACGTTGGGGGAGATGCATTTGATTCATTGGAGGGTTCTGGTTTCCTTGAAATTGTAAATCTTTCACTTGATGAGCCAGAGATGGAAGCTATTTTATTCAATGATGAAGTTGATGAAAGTGAACTTTGAAGTGTCAAGTTTAGATATATAGGACTTTCTTTTGTTTTTTTTTTTCCTTTGCTTGTGTTATGGACTGAATTAGCCTTGTTTTTCTTTTGGTGTTGGTTGTTTTTCCTTTGCTTGGATTATGGACTGAATTGGTGTTGGTTATGTTATGTTGAATTCAAATATATTAATATTTATCTTTTAGTTTTATAGTTCTCTTTTTAGTTTTGATATTTAACTTCAATTTGTAGGTTGGATCTTTTAACCATAATTATAAAAAATAAAAAAATATCGGCGTACCGCAGCCGTACCCATACCTGTACCCTACTTTTTTGGAGTTTTGCCGTATCGGCGTACCCGTACTCGTACCCGTACCGTACTCGTACCCGCACCCGTGCTTCTTAGGTTGATGATATACTTCTCACATGAAGTGATCCCACTTACATTTTCTCTTTGATTTCTCAAATGCATTATACTTTATGTATCAACAAATTAGGCCATATCAATTACTTTTTTGGTATCTTTGTTCTCTGTCGCTGGTTACTTTTTCTCTCAAAAGAAATATGCTTCTATTATCCTTGCTGAGGCTGACAGGACTAACTGTAAACCTTATTCCTCTCCCATGGCTCTTAAGCTTTCTTTCTCTTTTGATGATGATCTTTTTTTCTCACAGCTTACCTTGTAATGTTTTGTTTTTGGTGCTTTGCAATACTTGACACTTACACGACCAGATCTCTTATTGTAGTAAATCATGCTTGTCAGTTTATGCAAATTCCATTGAATAGTCATTTTGCAGCTACTGTTAAAAGATTACTTGGATATCTCAAAGGCACCTTGGACCATAGTCTTCAGTGTGTTTCTGGTCCTCTGGTTCTTAATGCCTCTTTTTGACTCAGATTGAGCAGGGCATGCAATTGATTGCAAGTCTACCATAAGGTATCGTGTGTTTCTTGGGCCTAATTTGATTTAGTGATGTGTCAAGTAGCAACCAACTGTCTCTCGCTCTTCAACATAGACTAAGTAGGGCTCTTGCTCAAACTACTGCTGAGATTAATTGCCTTGGCATTTACTTTCAAATCTTCATGTTCCAATCTCTGTTGCTACTTTCGAGTGTGATAATCTCTCTCTCATTTCCTTATCTAGCAATCCAGTATTTCATGATTGCTCCAGATATAGAGGTTGGTCATCATTATGTTCGTAAGAGCGTGACAACCAAGTAGCTTCTGGTTCAATATATTTCTTTCTCAAATCAATTGGCTGATATTTTAACTAAATCTTTGTCTATCTCTTGATTTCAATATTTGCGAGGCAAGCTTATCGTTCATGATACGCCACCACAAGAATAGTTGCAAGAGCAGCTTTCACTGGAGTCTAGTCAAGTTGTTATAATAGAGTTAGTTGCCGAGTTAGAATAATTATTGTATAAATTGAGTCGCAAGTATGTAATTATTCAATTGAGAAAATATATTCATCTTTCTTTAATATTTGTAGAGCAAGTTAGGTAACTACTAAGGTTAATTCTTAATAGTAAGAGAGATAGAGAGAGAGAAAAAAAAAAAAAAAACGTTACGGGTTCTTTGAGTCCCAAAGTTTTAATCCAATTTTCTATGATTTTTGACTTCTTAAATAAAAAAATACATTTGTAATCATATTATTTGTTCTTTTCAATTTGTTGTTATTTTCTTCAAATTTCATTAATCAATATGGTAAGTTTTTCAAAAATGGGAACAGGGTAAACGATTTTCAATTCTCTCCCTTCCCTTTTCCAAAAATACAACTACAAAAAAGAAAAACAAAATTAAATAAAGAAAGGCATTAACAAACAGAGGAACCAACAAAAATCACATACCTCAAAATACATTCTCTACACCTTTCACAGTCGAAGTCAAAAAGTCACTATCCTATTTAAGTCATATCATCTTATTTAAGTCACATCACCTCTCTATCACATCACTTCAAACCCAACCCATACCCAACCCATATTTCATAAAAAATCAAAAAGTGCACTTATTTAGATCATCCCAAACTATCCATAAATAAAGAAAGACATTAACAAACAGAGGAACCAACAAAAATCACATACCTCAAAATACATTCTCTACACCTTTCACAGTCGAGTTTGGTTTCAATCATTCCAATGTCTTTCTTAAGGCCATTAAAGGATAGACAATTTCTTATCTCTTCATACTGTAAATTTGTTTGTCAACATAGATGTATATATTATGTTAATTTTGTATTTTACTCAGACCCGTTTGACAACATTTAATTTTAGTTTAAAAGTGAAAATGTCATTAAAAATGTCAAAAAGTCAACAACCTATGTAAAAAAGTCAAAGATTTCAGTTTTTCTTTAAAGTTAAAAAGTCATCACAAATATACTAATTTTTTTTCTTATATTTTAATCAAAAATTTAAAAAGTTACTAAAATAGTATATCATCAATTTATCATTTTGGCCGATCAAAAAAAAAAAAAATCAATTTATCATTTTGTGTGTGTGCGTGTGTTTTGTGCTTCTGCATTGCCATGCTTTGTGTTTTTGCCCCCTCCCCCTTTTTATACTATTATTATGTTGTTTTAACGTGTAGGTCGTATATTAAAATGCTTTAAATTTTTATTGTCATATTGTTTTTTTTTTTTTGAGATTTTTTATTATAATTTTTTTTTATCTCATAATTTTTAAAGATATACCATATATCCATTTAGAAAATAAACAAGATTTGTTCGTGACAACTTTTTTTTTTTTATTCTCATGTGAATACATATATATATACATGTGTGTATATATGAGTCTTTTTTTTTTTATTAGTGATTGCAAACGTTTTTTTTTTAATATAACTAGGATATCGAAAAGGAAAATTCATTAGATTAAATTGGGAATTAAAGTCAGAGCAAAATCTTCACATGGATTTGGTTTCAACAAATTATTTGCAGTTATGAAGTTTTAAACTTGTGACCTTAATGCTGTGTTTGGTTGGGGGATTTGGGAAGGAATTTGGAAGGGAAATGGAAAAGGTAGGTGAAATGTGAATAAATCATGCCTATATTTCACATAGTTTCACACACCTTTTCCCTTTCCCTTTCCAAATCCCTCAACCAAACACTGCATAAAGGAAACACAACCAAAGTCTCAAGTTTTGATCACCAAGCCAACTCTCCATTTTTAACATGTAATTGAAGTAAAAGTTTTTTTTTTTTTTTTGCTGTGCAACTAAACTTATAAGCACATAAGCATTATAAATACAGAAAAAAATCAAACTTTTACATAAGCATTATAAAACTTTTCAAAGCAAAAAAAAAAAAAAAAAAAAAAAACTTTTACTTTAATTACATGTTAAAAATGGAGAGTTGGCTTGGTGATCAAAACTTGAGACTTTGGTTGTGTTTCCTTTATGCTGTGTTTGGTTAATCTGAGGATAGAAGTGAAATTATGAACTCAATAAAAAGAACAATAAACGAAGTCAATAAAAAAACTCTATAATAAGAGAAAAATTATTATTCTTTGCATGTGACACAGATTTAATGAATTTATAATTCAATCACACTAAAGTTTGTTCTTAATTTAATTTACATAGTAGAAAATAATTTATACTTTTAAAATGTAACTAAATATAATATGCTCTTAAATCTTTTGAGTCATTTATAAATCGCACAGAAGGTAATTATTCAAATCTAAAATATTTGTCTTAATTATTCATAATTATTCAAAAGATAATATATTATTTCAAATTGGACATCAAACCCTAAATCACTTTTAAGAGACTGAATAAATCATTTTGTCTTGTAATTTTAGTCTAATATGTAATGGTGCATTATCTATCCATTGCCACCCATCCCTACCATTCCCAATCCCTTCCTCGCCTTCTCTACCACCCCGTCACTCTCTGGTCACTCCCAGTCATCCCCTATTTCTAATTATTTTCCAAGCTCTTATTTCCTCTGCAATATGGAGAAACAAATCACTAAATTGCAATTATTTTTTCCCTTTCACTTAATTGCAATTTCTCTCACTGTAAAATCTATTTTTATAATTTTGATGATTTCAAAATTCGATTTTAGTATAAAAACTTTTCATGACAGTCTTCACCAGAATGCACTTTAGTAACAGTTAGTCAAATTGCGAATAAAATTTGAGATGGAAAGATCCCATGCTGGATAAACGAATAAATAAAAATTTCAATTCAATGTAAGTTTATAAAAATGATTTTAGATCATAAACATTAATAATTAAAATTTGGGTAACCTACTAAAATGTGTATTTACTTTTATTTAATCTTTGGTTTCCTACCATTAACATTAGTTTCGATCATTTTAACTATACTGATGAAAGAAAGGTTAATGTAATGGATAATGTTAGAGATACCAAATTTTTTACCAAAAAAAAAATCTTATATGGATGTGGGGTCCACAAATAAATGATTAAATGTCTTACATGGGTGTGGACTCCGCAATTTTGTGGACCCCACACCCATATGAGAGATTTAGTCATTTTTTTGATAGAAAATTTGGGGCCATAGCATTTTCCTAATGTAATTATCTTAAAAGCAGGAAAATATTATAAGTTTCAAATTTTCTACTAAACAATGACCAAATGTCTCACATGGGTGTGGGGTCCACAAAATTGCAGACCCCACCCACGTGCGTCATTTGGTCATTTATTTGATAGAAAATTTAGTATTCATAACATTACTCTTAAAAGTGTGAGGCTAATTATAACTATATTTAATTCTCAAGAAAGATGAGTGTAATTTATCCTCACACTTTTAAATTTTTTGTTATAAATTTATAATTATTTTATGAAAACAGCTGAATTATAATTTCCCAAACAATAATGAATTGTGACACATAAAAGGTAAGCTATAGTGGTATCAATGCCATTGGAATTTGATATTCCCGTTTGGGAATAGACTATTTTAATTAGTTATTTAATTTTTTATAAAAAAATAAACAAAAAAATATAGAGAGTGATATGATAGAGTGTTTTGTTTTATTAATTATTTTAGCTTAGGATATGCTATTATAGTCCATCCTAATATTCGAATGCCACAAATAAAGAGACATGATGAAACTTTAATTCTAAATCTATGTTATTTCATTGTTTTTAGGTAGCTGAGAGGGAGATTTATGATCTGGAATTGGGCCGAGGTAACGGCCGAGCAGGTTGAGAGCCTAATGGTGCATGGGGCCGAGATGACCGGCAATCCGCCCGAAGATGGGCTGCCAGGACTTGGGCCGGGCAGGAGTTGGGCCAAGTATGTGCCGCCCCAGACCGTAAAGAAGCTGCTTGGCACGGAGCTGCTTGATCAGGCG